AGATGTCATCTCAATACTTTCAGTTATAAAGACACCAAAGTGATGTCATTAAATGGCTTTGTTTTCTAAAGGTTTGCAAAATGAATGGAATGAATTCACAACTACAGCTCTTTAAGAAAAGAATCAATAGGTGAATTTATTGATGGAGTAACTTCCATGATAGCTTGTATAAAACATGTTGTGTTCATTACATGTTTAATATCAGTAAACTCAATGTCAGAAAATAACTGTTTAGTTTAGCAGGGATTACTTACAAGCACTTGCAAAAGACTGGAATTAGAAACTTTCTCTGTGATCTGATCATCATTGGCAGTTGAATATATTCATGTACTTGTTGGGGCCGTTGATAAAATGTATGTGTCCGGCTCTTATGGGTCAGTAGAGGGCCCGTCTTTGCAGAATGAATGAATCCTATTTTCGTAACATGTAGGAGGGCATTCTACAGGGACATTGTAATCTATGAGGGTGTCAGCAATAGTATTTTCTGTCAAGCTTCAAATGTTTTGATTAGCGTCAAGGGAAATAGGGCAGCTGTTGCAAAAACAGCAGTGAAATGTTTGTTTTCCTGATCAAACTTAAAAGTGCATATCATGCCTATTTGGTGTCTAAGTGAGTGAGTTTATGCCGCCCTCAGCAATAATCCAGCTATATGGCGGCGGTCTGCAAATAATCGAACCTGGACCAGACAATCCAGTGATCAACAGCATGAGCATCGATCTACACATTTGGGATGCGATGACATGTATCAACCCAGTCAGCGAGCCTGACCACCTGATCACATTAGTTGCCTCTTACGACAAGTGGTGACTGAAGATAGATTCTAACACGGACCTTCACGGGTATTTTGGTGTCTAGACATGTGCAACGGGCCAGTGATGTCATCAGCAGCATCCTCAGCAGACAGGCACAGTGACACAATTATGATCAGGGGTTGAAAGTACGAACAACACTCAGCAAGGTCATACATTTTAGCCACCCAATACTCATTTCACTTAGCTCTTAGCATAAGTGTGTGTAATTCACACACAATTCATCCCAGATTCTCCAAAAGGAATCAGTCTTCGAGAAAAGCCTGATGTTCTGACTTTGAATCTTTTCGGGGACAAAAGCATTGGTACCAAAGGACCAATTCTGACGCCGAATCCCAACAGAGACAAAAGCATTGGTACCAAAGGACCAATTCTGACGCCGAATCCCAACAGAGACAAAAGCATTGGTACAAAGGGACCAATTCTGACGCCGAATCCCAACAGAGACAAAAGCATTGGTACCAAAGGACCAATTCTGACGCCGAATCCCAACAGAGACAAAAACATTGGTACCAAAGGACCAATTCTGACGCCGAATCCCAACAGAGACAAAAGCATTGGTACCAAGGGACCAATTCTGACATTGAATCCCAATAGAAACAAAAGCATTGATTACAAGGGACTAATTCTGGCATGGAATCACCTCAGGAAGGGAAGCATTGGTACCAAGGGACCAATTCTGACATTGAATCCCAATAGAGACAAAAGCATTGGTACCAAAGGACCAATTCTGACGCCAAATCCCAACAGAGACAAAAACATTGGTACCAAAGGACCAATTCTGAAGCCGAATCCCAACAGAGACAAAAACATTGGTACCAAAGGACCAATTCTGACGCCGAATCCCAACAGAGACAAAAACATTGGTACCAAAGGACCAATTCTGACGCCGAATCCCAACAGAGACAAAAGCATTGGTACCAAAGGACCAATTCTGACGCCGAATCCCAACAGAGACAAAAGCATTGGTACCAAAGGACCAATTCTGACGTCGAATCCCAACAGAGACAAAAGCATTGGTACCAAAGGACCAATTCTGACGCGAATCCCAACAGAGACAAAAACATTGGTACCAAAGGACCAATTCTGACGCCGAATCCCAACAGAGACAAAAGCATTGGTACCAAGGGACCAATTCTGACATTGAATCCCAATAGAAACAAAAGCATTGATTACAAGGGACTAATTCTGGCATGGAATCACCTCAGGAAGGGAAGCATTGGTACCAAGGGACCAATTCTGACATTGAATCCCAATAGAGACAAAAGCATTGGTACAAAAGGACCAATTCTGACGCCGAATCCCAACAGAGACAAAAACATTGGTACCAAAGGACCAATTCTGACGCCGAATCCCAACAGAGACAAAAACATTGGTACCAAAGGACCAATTCTGACGTCGAATCCCAACAGAGACAAAAGCATTGGTACCAAGGGACCAATTCTGACATTGAATCCCAATAGAAACAAAAGCATTGATTACAAGGGACTAATTCTGGCATGGAATCACCTCAGGAAGGGAAGTATTGGTACCAAGGGACCAATTCTGACATTGAATCCCAATAGAAACAAAGGCATTGGTTACAAGGGACTAATTCTGGCATGGTATCCCCTCAGGAAGGGAAGCATTGGTACCAAGGGACCAATTCTGACATGGAATCCCAATAGAAACAAAAACATTGCTTACAAGGGACCAATTCTGGCATGGTATCCCCTCAGGAAGGGAAGCATTGGTACCAAGGGACCAATTCTGACATGGAATCCCAATAGAAACAAAAACATTGGTTACAAGGGACCAATTCTGGCATGGTATCCCCTCAGGAAGGGAAGCATTGGTACCAAGGGACCAATTCTGACATGGAATCCCAATAGAAACAAAAACATTGGTTACAAGGGACCAATTCTGACATGGTATCCCAATAGAAACAAAAGCATTGGTTACAAGGGACTTATTCTGGCATGGAATCCCCTCAGGAAGGGAAGCAATGGCTACCAGGGAGCAGGGGCTCCTTTGATGAAGCAACCTTTACTAAGATTAACCATAACTCCCATTCTTTAACATTGCACTAAGGTTACCTCAGCGACTTAAGATCACGTTTGTGCTCTGTGAAAGGAGGCCAAGTTCTGATGTTGAATCCCTACAAAGACGGAAGCATTGGGTACTAGGGACCAATTCTGAATCCCTACAGCGGCATAAAACTCAACTCCCTCACTGATTAAGCCTTGTAACATTAACTGAAGCGCTCAAGAGTTGCTGGACTAATGAATGTTCACAAGCCTTCCACAACAAGGGTGTGGGGGTATTGCACTTCATTACCTTACAATGGTGATATAACAATATCTATGAAGTCATGGATCCCATGTTTGCTGCTATGTCTGTTGCCTTAGGTGCCTTAGGTCCCCTAGATCTCCGAGAATCCAATCTCATTACACAGAATAACAACAGCATATGCACTTTCCTGATTTAATTAATTATTTTTCTTTGAAATTGTATATGAAGAGCTGGGCAAAGTCTGGTATGTTTCTGATTTGCATAAGGCAGTGACTATCACAAATGTCGAGTTATAAATAATAATAATCATATAAAAAGTTCAACACGAATATTCGATAAAGTTAATTGCCAAAGTCTAGATTGTTGAACATTTGTTGTAAGAGAATAACTGCTGTAAATATTAAATGATGAAAGTTGTTTACCTGAGCTTGATTGAAAACTTGATGGTTTAGTTTCAACTTGGCCCGGGGCTTGACCAATGATACCTGATTAGGTGCTTTATCAGAGATTCTTACTTACCTGGGTGCCGCTTAACAAGATGGTCTTAACGTGAACGTAATTCTATATACCTTAACATAGACATATAGCAGCCATAGAGTTACACACGGCATATTTGGGATTACACTTTCTCAGTTAAGTACAGATTATAGTACTTTTGTTAGATTGAGTCCCTTCTGGGATTCGACTGCCTCCGTGGTGTAGTGGTTAGAGCGTCCGCCTGGAGAGCGGAAGGTCGCAGGTTCGATCCCCGACCGCGACATACCAAAAGACATTAAAATATGGTACTTGTTGGTCCCTGCCTGGCACTCGGTATTAATGGGTACAACAAGGACTGGTCACCTCGGAGTCAGTATAATGTGTCTGGGTGGGGTATTCATGCTTCACTGCGGCATGGTATCTCAGTGGGCTAGCACTATAAAACCAGCTTCAGTCTGGGCTAGTACAAGCAGCCACACATACACATACACACGCATGCACGTCATCATATGAGCGAAATATTCCCAGCACGACATTAAACCCAATTTCACCTCACCTCACCCTTCTGGGATTCGAACCCACACCCTCAGAGTCAGGCACCTAATCGCCCACACACAAAGTCCACCGTCTACCCTACTCAGGCACTGCAGCTTCCACAACAATGGAAGTTGGACAACTGGTAGTCCAGACCACGGACTTTGTGTACTCCCCTGGTAAATGTAAATTGACACAGCTCCCACGGCCAAAAGCCAAGGGTGTGGGTTCAAATCGCGGATGGGACTCAACCCAACAAAAGTACCAGAATCTCTACTTGACTGAGAAAGTGTAATCCCAAATATAAAATGTGTTTCATTTGACCACTTTCGAAAATGGCATTGTGTATTCATAACCATACAGTAACATTTTGTACACCAACACCTTGGTACTGCGTGTACACAAGCCCAACTGGATGCTGTGATACTTATCAGCTGATTAAATGTAAACCCTCTCATGTCAGGTTAATCATCATCTTAAGAAAGTAAATTGTGTATTCATGACTTATCACAGTCAGATGAGTACAAATAATCTGAAAAGCATTTTGAGTATTGTCATCATGTAAAAGGTATTGTGTGTCTATAATATACCAAATCCACACCCTGAAGCCTGCTCATAGCACATAGTAACATTTTGACCCTGGTCAATGGATCAATGTGCACTGGCTTTTCATTCTCAACTCCCTGGGGAGTATTCACCTCAAGCAGCCAATCAGGAAGCTTAACATGTACATTACATTGTCATCCTATTGTTTATTTCATTTGAAGATATATCACCAAATGATGTTTACACATTGTACCTCAGTTTACATTCATACATAAAATGCATGTACACATTAACCTCTTTGAGCACTAAATAGCATGAACAATCCCTAAGGCTTTATTTAGAAAAGATTATTTTTTATTTCAGAAATCCCCATCCTGTGAAAGTCAATCTGCAGAGAAAACGTCACTTCTAAACAAGGGGGAGACAACTGGCAGAACCAGTTTGCAGGCAACAAAAGGTTCATTGTTCATTCCTAATTTATTACATCTTACAAATAGAATTGGGTTGTAATCAGTACATTCAACTATGTGATTGCTGAATTAAATAGTTTGAAGAAAAAATAAACACTGAAAAAACATGTTCAAATTAGAGAGAAAATATAAATATAATTTTGTAAAAGAAGTCATCTGTGATATGACTCTATGTCAAGCTACACTGACACGGTAAGGATGTCATCTTTCGGATAACTAAACACCCAGCTGAACTGACATGGTAAGGATGTCATCTCTAGGATAACTAAACACCCAGCTGAACTGACACGGTAAGGATATCATCTATAGGATAACTAAACATCCACCTGAACTGACACAGTAAGGATGTCATCAGTGGGATAACTAAACACCCAGCTGAACTGACACAGTAAGGACGTCATCTGTAGGATAACTAAACACCCACCTGAACTGACATGGTAAGGATGTCATCTGTGGGATAACTAAACACCCACCTGTGGGATAACTAAATACCAACCTGAATTGACATGGTAAGGATGTCATCTGTAGGATAACTAAACACCCAGCTGAACTGACATGGTAAGGATGTCATCTGTGGGATAACAAAACACCCAGCTGAACTGACACGGTAAGGATGTCATCTGTGGGATAACTAAACACCCACCTGAACTGACACGGTAAGGACGTCATCTGTGGGATAACTAAACACCCACCTGAACTGACATGGTAAGGACGTCATCAGTGGGATAACTAAACACCCAGCTGACACGGTAAGGACGTCATCTGTGGGATAACTAAACACCCACCTGAACTGACATGGTAAGGACGTCATCTGTGGGATAACTAAACACCCACCTGAACTGACATGGTAAGGACGTCATCTGTGGGATAACTAAACACCCACCTGAACTGACACGGTAAGGATGTCATCTGTGGGATAACTAAACACCCAGCTGAACTGACACGGTAAGGATGTCATCTGTGGGATAACTAAACACCCACCTGAACTGACATGGTAAGGACGTCATCTGTGGGATAACTAAACACCCAGCTAAACTGACACGGTAAGGATGTCATCTGTGGGATAACTAAACACCCACCTGAACTGACACGGTAAGGACGTCATCTGTGGGATAACTAAACACCCACCTGAACTGACATGGTAAGGACGTCATCAGTGGGATAACTAAACACCCAGCTGAACTGACACGGTAAGGACGTCATCTGTAGGATAACTAAACACCCACCTGAACTGACACGGTAAGGATGTCATCTGTGGGATAACTAAACACCCACCTGAACTGACATGGTAAGGACGTCATCAGTGGGATAACTAAACACCCAGCTGAACTGACATGGTAAGGATGTCATCAGTGGAATAACTAAACACCCAGCTGAACTGACATGGTAAGGACGTCATCAGTGGGATAACTAAACACCCACCTGCAGTGTTCACGAATGGTGTTTCAAAGTAACAGGACATTGGGTCCTGTAAGTTTCAGATGTCTGTCTGACCCGCTGAAAATTCACAGGACCCATGGAATAAAACTAAACACACATTTCAGATTTAACATTTGTTGTAATTGGCATTGAAATTATTAACAAGTATAAGATTTACAAACAGCAAACAAGTGTCACATGTCACATATAGCAACTTCGGTCAAAGTCATTATGAAATATACAGTCAGACACTGGGGCCGGCAGGTTTTAGACTTCTATCAGACCTTTTTCGAATCTGCCAGATTTGTCAGAGGGTCAGACGCTATTCGTGAACACTGACCTGAACTAACACGGTAAGGATGTCATCAGTGGGATAACTAAACACCCAGCTGAACTGACATGGTAAAGATGACATCTGTGGGATAACATGACACCCAGCTGATTTGACACGGTAAGGACGTCATCTGTTGGATGACTCCATGTCAAGCTACACTGACACGGTAAGGACGTCATCTGTAGGATAACTTAACACCAAGCTGAACTGACATGGTAAGGATGTCATCTGTTGGATGACTCCATGTCAAGCTACACTGACACGGTAAGGACGTCATCTGTAGGATAACTAAACACCCAGCTGAACTGACATGGTATGGATGTCATCTGTGAGATAAGTCCATGTCAAGCTACACTGACAAGGTGAGGACGTCATCCAAACAATAACTGTCCTTATTTGTGAGGTGTCAAGAGTAATGAGTTTGCCCACAAAATCAAAGGTCTTATTTTAACCAATTGTGGACACTGAGGCAGCTGAAGATGTATCGATGAATTGTTCTCCCTTGATTGCATCTGCGGAAGCAAATTTTAACACTTTGAAAACATAATTCATTTTAACAAGTTTTAAATGTCAATTAAGGGCTGATCCTTTGGATGATCAAACATTCGCAGAATGTCAAATCATCTTTTTGCATGCTTAAGATGTTAGTCTTCACTGAAATGAGTGTTTGACTTTAAATTTTCTTTGAAATTTTACAATACATTATGTACATTTAACTGTACATAAAGCATTTTATTTTTATATAATCTCTGAATTATGGTCGTTTAGATAAGATTATGTTGGACAGAAATTACAAGTAAGAATACAAAGTTTACTTGACTTCCTGAATAGTATTCATTTTGAGAGGACATTTTGAGATTTACTAACTTACTGTGTTTTAGATGCTGATGAAACTGGGGATAGCAGTTCCGATGTTCTCAGTAACACAAAGGGGAAAAAGACAGGACGAAAGGGAAAGAAAACAAAAGTTACGACAGGTACAAAAACTACCAACTCATCTCGGGTCAGATCTGAAGAGCATCAAGCCGGGAAGATATCAAGGTAAGTGACAGATTGATTTCTTAAATGTATTTGCTGTCGTTAGAGCAATGAAGGATCTTTTTCCCATCTGATAAACACAAGAAGATGTTAAGGATGTGACGAAGAAGAAAAGTCACATTTGCTGGGGAAGTATGTTGGGATGTATTTATTTTTTGGATGATGTTCCTGATGCTATGTTCCTGATGCAATCAGGAGCTGATGAAGGGTTGAGTGCTGGATCGGAAGAAGAGGATTTACATGAGACGACTGTCTTGTTTACTTCGACATGTTTGTGTTCTGATCTTGCTGTAAACACCATGTTCTTGACGTCTGCTTCATAGTTAAATGTCACTTGGATACTGTACAAGATGTTGGCCGTGATGTGATGGGGTTTTTTCAGCTAATGATTACAGCAATAACACATGCATCCGTCTTATTCGAAAATGGATGTTAGTGATCATGTATTTTTTTCCAGATATTTATGTCTTCTCTTTTCTTTATGAAGAATACATTTTGGTACCAAAGATGTAGTGATGATGATGATGATATCATGATGAGGAGGATCAACATGTATCGCAGACTATTTGTTACCATAATTTCAGTGATGATGATGATGAACATGAACATGTATACTCCAGGTATATACATGTTAGGCATGCATTCTCACTCAACACATGCACACAGAAAATCTCAAGCTGCTTCAGGTGAAGATCTTGCTATTAGCAGAATACATGCTATTTGTTGCCATAATTTTGGTGACAATGATGATGATGATGATGTACATACACACTCAGGCATGCATTCTCACTCTGCACATGCAAACAGAAAATCTCGAGATGATGATGATGGTGATGATGATGAAGAAGAATCTTCATTATAATCTGCAGGTACTTTATTCATGACTATTTCAGGCATCAATTTTATCAGTACAAGCATTCCTCATGAAAAGCGTGTAAATGTCAAATTGCAGTATTTTTATGGATTGAAAAAGTTTCAATTGAAAAAGTAATCCTGGTACAAAACTTGCGAAAGCAAAGTTAGGGAAATTAAAACTTCCTCCATGGCATCTGAGAGTCAAGAGAAGTAACAGAAGACATGAAAGTGTTTGAATGATACCAGGAGAAATTAATTCAGGATTTACTCCAAGAACTTGAGTGTGTTTATTCAATCTCCATTGACAACCAATAACAATGAAATTAGCTAGCAGCCCAAAATTTAGAAATGACACCAATGGATTAATAATCTGAAAGATCTGTGTACATGGTCATGTTTGATTTAGTCGCATTGACATTCAAGGTCCGAGGAATGTTCTGTGAGACCGATAAATGTAAATAGCATTAGCTGAGTGTTCAGAACAAATGACTCGGTTTTTCATACAGATAATGGTACTCTTCATTTAATTCTAGCACCTCAATGAATATCCCGAAATGTCTATTTACAGTATATTGATTGACATTTCAGAGTAAAAAAATGATTTAGCTCTAATGCTGTAGCTCACCTGGTATGCGGTCCTCATGCTGCTGCCATGGTGAACCCCAAATGCAGCTGTCGCCATGGTGAACTCTTTCCTGTAACTCACCAGACTTGCTGCCATTATGGTGAAGTCGTTTCATTGACTCACCAGGCCTGAGGTCCCGATTCTGTCGCCATGGTGAACTCCTTCCTGTAACTCACCAGACTTGCTGCCATTATGGTGAAGTCGTTTCACTGACTCACCAGGCCTGAGGTCCCGATGCTGTCGCCATGGTGAACTCTTTCCTGTAACTCACCAGACTTGCTGCCATTATGGTGAAGTCGTTTCATTGACTCACCAGGCCTGAGGTCCCGATGCTGCTGCTGTGGTGAAATCTTTCATTTAATTCACCAGGCTTGAGCTCCACATGCTGCCTTCATGGCCAAGTCTTTCATTTTTTACTTTAACCTATCCATTTTTTACTGGTAATACCAGATGTTCAGGAGTACAATACTGGATGACCAAGATCTCTGACAAAACAATTTGGCCTGTATAATGTATGTTAAATCTTCTCTCTATGAGAGGGCGATGGGGTAGCCAAGTGGTTAAAGCGTTCACTTGTCACGTCGAAGACCCGGGTTCGATTCCCCACATGGGTACAATGTGTGAAGCCCATTTCTGGTGTCCCTTGCCGTGATATTGCTGGAATATTGCTAAATGTGGCATAAAACTCACTCACTCACTCTATTAGTATCGTAAGGCTGTGTAAAGTATGAAAGTTTAGGACTTCAATAATTACCACTTAGACTGCAGAGAGGAATGGTTTAACGGTGCCTCTGTAAGCCATCTAAGGACTACAGCTCCCCTACATTACCTTGACATACCTTTGTCATTCAGCTCTCATGATCGTCTTAGCAATGTGATTACATTGTGGAATAGGAGACCAAGACTGTACTTGTTTACAGGTGGATAAGTTGTAGCAGACGTTTTGTTATAATCCCCAGAAAATATCCCAAACCGTAACAGGGAGCATGATACAATGTTCTGGTGGCCATTTTTGGTCAAGGTCATGATTCTGTAATTAGTGTCGAAAAGGAAAGACGTACCCTAAATATCAACTGGCCTATGCCAAGTTTGCTTTGTGCCCATAATCAGCTTGTATCTTGGTCTTTTAGTGAGTGATTGTTGTCAAACTGAAATGCCGTCTTTGTATAACTGGGCTAATCATCAGCTTCAGACTGATGAACATCATCAAATTTTAGTTCACAGATAATGTGTGTTTCAGATGAAAATTGCAACTACGCCAGCTGGCCAACCTACGTCATCTTCTTTGGAGCCTTCAAGTTAAGATGTGGACTAGCATTTTAGCTTCTTGTCATAAACTTTGGAAGTATCTCAAAGCAGCATAAAACCTTAACCTATCTTGAATACGGTGAGCTTCTAAGCCAAGGGCATTTTTGTCCACAGTAAAAAAATATTTGAACTCATTGAAGAAGCATGTTGATCTCATACAGGCTTCCTCCAGTTATTGACTATACTGAGAGAAATGGGTCAGTAAATGGACTTTGACTGCCTATGGACATAGAGTAAATCTTTGGAGTGGTTGTTGCCAGAGAGTTAAAAACATATCAAGAATATACCTTTCAGAAGGTACCATCCTGTTGACTTTGAAGTCTGGATCTTCAGACACAAAAGTCCTTTCAGCTCCAGGTGGCATTTTATTTTTTGTTATCAGTCCTTTCAGTTATGTGTGTAGTTCCATCTTTTCAAAATGTCTTTTGGTCGTTCATAAAGAGCATTTTTTCTGGTTGAAAGTCAGGTGAGAAAGTGCCGCTTCTCCACTTATTTCAGCAAAACTTTCCAAAAATCAGTGTACGAGTATATTCTTAGCTTGTTCCGTTGCCAAGCTAAGCTCTGATCTATGCATCATGTCAGAATCACAGACTGCATTCAGTCTGAAAACCCCACAGTGGAACGATATGAGAAGTCTGAAAACAAGTAATATCCTCATGTTATGGGTTTTCAGACGCTATAGAACAGCCTTTGGTTTCTCGAGTATCGCGTGAACAATTATAGAGCATGTCGGGAATGATTAAAGCCAACTTTATCTTGATCACAAACCATCATCCGAGTATTTACAATGTCTGTGTGACGCAACCTGTCATCGATGTAGTGGAATAAACATTGCCACGTTTAATCCAAGATATTTGATTCAATTCACAGCGTGGGTACAGTGGGTGAAGCCTGTACTCTGGAGCATGTTTTAGTGATTTGATCAATGGGCAAAGTAGACACAATTTATGGATAACAACTTCTTTAATATACACAGCAATATTTTGAATAGATCCTTGTACCATTGTCAAGAAAGTTAAGTGTATCAGGATCTGTACCAAACCTTGTATAATATACTTTAAAGAAATTTTTATCTGTAAATTGTGCCTACTTTGTCATCCATCAACATCCAGAAAATATGGGCGGTGTGGTTTCCCAGTGGTTACCATGTTTGCTCATCATACTGAAGACACGGGTTCGATTCCCCACATGGGTACAATGTGTAAAGCTCATTTCTGGTGTCCCCGCCATGATATTGCTGGAATATTGCGAAAAGCAGTGTAATACCAGACTCGCTCACTCACTCACTCCCATGCTCGCTCTGGCTTGAATACCAACAGTGGTACAATGTGTCTTGCTTGTTCCTTGGAGGGTGTTTCTGTTACTCGGTTATTTCTGGCTGAAATATTTAAAGTCACTGATTCCGTGTGTTCGGTATGGATCTGCAAACCAGCTAATCCCTTGACCATAACAAGTTAGAAAAGCAGTTGAGATTTGTCAATAATTTTAACTCTGTAAAACATCACCAGTCTTCATTGCAGTGATACACAAAGAATGATCAATTGTCATGTCTGTCATGTTCGTAAAACATTCAATATGTGAGAAATGATAATCTCTTTAATCAAGTATCCTTTCATTCTTTGGAATATTTTGTTGAAGAAATTGGATTCCATTGTGGTTTTGATCCTGTTTTGCCCAGCAAACACTTGAAGGATGGAAGGTTGTTTAATATACTGCTGAAGGTATCCAGACAAATTTGGAATAATGACAGTGCAAGCCAGACTCTCTGCTTGAACCCTGTTTTTGTAATCTGTCACCCCAACACAATGGCCATTATTGGTTATGCTGAGTCAGCAATTTGATGGTGGCTGGAGTAAAGGTCAGGATGATGCTCTGTAACTATCCTATCACATGTACAGGGAAAAAATATATTCTGTTGGTGGTTGAGAATTACGGTCAACATTTTTATGTTGATGGGACGTGTCTAGACCTGTGCTACTCAAGGCTGTCATTCACACATTAAGTTTATATAGCATGTTATAACTGAAATATAATCTTCACACTAAGTTCACATGCTGTGACATAACTGAAATATACTGTTCACACCCAGCTCACATTCCATGACATAACTGAAATAAACTATTCACTTCCAGCACACATACTATGATATTACTGTTCACACCCAGCTTACATACCATGATATAACTGAAATATACAGTTCACACCCAGCTGATAT